GATGTTTTTAATAATGAAGAAATCATTTTGAAGTTTAACAAAAGGAAATTAAATAAGGTAATACTTCAATTAAACAAAATAACAACAAATCAAAATCAAAACTCATATAATTTATATTATTTTTGAAAATTCAAACTTTTTGATTTTACCAGGAAATTTGAAGATGACACACCAGAGACATTAAACAAACATTAAAATGAATCTATGCTTTGAATTACACTTTGTCATCTGACTATATCTCTGCCATTGGTTAGAGAATATTCTAATCAATATTGCAATAATATCAGTGATTATTATTAGTGATGATGTAATATCATTTTATTATAATAGAAGAGTAAATATTTGTAAAGGTAGTAGTTATATTTACTTGTTATGTTGTAAATACATTTAATAATATGGTATTGTCGAAGAAAAGGAACTGAATGTTGATGATAAATGAAATTAGTCTTAATATAGAGTGATAAGGATTTATTTTTAAATCATATCATAAGAAAATTAAGAATGAGGAATTTTAATATAAATTAAAATAAAAATCATATAACAACTCTATTGATTTTATTTAATAGGTTTTATGATATTTATTCATTTATTTGTTCTACAAAGTAATTGTTTTATTTTTTTAAACTAATCACTTGGACTAGTTGTGCTTAACATACAAAGCAGTTATTTTTGTTAACTTAATGAACGACTGATCTATTTTGACTGAAAATCATTTTTAAAAACAAAAAAAAAGATTAAAAGGATATATTAATTTTTTAAAATTTCTTATCTTGAGAAGTTGTTTATTAAATTTATTGTTTAATTTACTTCTATTAAAAATAACATTTTTTAATAATAAAAAATAAAATAGAATAATGTTAATAATAACAATAATATTATTGTTTTTTAAAAACAAAAGGGATTGTACTATCTTTAAAAAATTAGTTACATGGACTTTAGTGATGGAATAGATGAGGTTATTGAGATTATTGAGTCAAATGATGGTTGGATAGATATTTATAGTAGTTACACGAATTGTTATTCAAAAAATGAATATAAAAATACCAAAAACTTCATTATTCGAAGTAAAATTATAATGAATATACGAAGCGAACAATTATTTGAATTAATTAGTGATCCAATGAATCAAAGCCTTTATGACCCGAGTGTTAATTATTCAAGAAATGAAGGAAATAATGAATATTGTATTGATTTATCACTTCCAGTACAATTTTGTCTTCCAAAAGTATTTAAATTAACAAATATGATAACAGACACGATGCAAATAAGTATTCGGTATTATTTATCCAATGGAATATTAAAAAGAACAATATTTGCAGTAAAAAAAAGAAATGAAGGAAGTGAATTTATTATTATTGAAGAATTTAAAGAAAAAACAGTAGAAGAGAAAACTATTCCTTTTTTAAATACCATTCTAATGAAAAAACAAAATGATAATATCAATGAGTATTTTAATAGAAATATTGAATCAAAAAGAATATATGAAATGGAAAGAAATTTATTTAATACAATGACACAAAAAGAGAAAGAATATAAAATTATTTATCATGAAAATAAAAAAGTTAGAGTTAAAATTAATATTGAATGTACTCAATTTTATGTTCAAGGAGAAGTTATTTCTAAAAGTAGAATTATAGATATTATGACTCAATTTGCACATCCTGAAAATTGGGATTTTATTTTTCCAATTACAGTTTTAATTAAAAATAATGATAGAATAAGAACGTACCACAGAGAAACATTATTTTTTGGTGATAAAGTTACTATTGACCAAAGTATTAGTTATAGAATTGGTGATAATTTTGGAATAATCTCTTTTCAAACTGAACCAAAATTATGTCAATATGAACATTTTAATCAATGTAATATTACAGGTGGAGCATTTATAACATCTGTTTCAAATATTCAAAGAATACAATATGGATATTTATTTACATTACAATGTTTAAATAATCTTAGTATTAATGAAAGAAAAAAAATTATTTATAATTTAACTGTTATGAACCTTGCAATTCATGCATTCTTTTCACAACCTTGTTTAAATTTATTATTTATTCAAAACAAACTTCTTAATAGAAATGAAATGGCAAATCAATTATTAGCAAATGTTTATATGTTTTCAAAAATTAAAGACAAAGAAACAACTGTATCATCAATAATATCACATGCTCCTATATTATTTTGTTCAAATAAAACAGTTCTTAAAGTATTTTGGTTTCTTGGTCCAAGGGATCTTTTTGTTCTTCCATTTGTTTGTAGAAAATTTCGTGCTGCATTAACATCTGAAGTATCAAACCAAATTTATAAAAAAATATATGAACAATATATAAATAAACATACATTCGATAAACGATATCCAAATAAAGAATTAACATCTCATCTTTATCGAAGTGAATTTTTATATTTTTGTAAGAGAGATAGAAATTGTGGTAAAACACGTGGAAAGTTATTTTCATTACAACAACCTATTGATAATGTTATTGTTATGAATAATGGTATTATAGCTTCTAATGGAAAAAAATTAATGAAAATAGACTTCAATGGAAAAATGAGTAGAATGCAGAGTTATGGAAATATAGTTAGTATGAAAAGAGGGGTTGATGAAGATACATTATATGTTTATTACAAAACAGGAGGAATTAGAAAATATGTAAATTTTGAAGAAACAACAAAAATGATAAAAATAGGAGAAGAACATGGAAAGATTCAATTTGGGTTTAATGGAAGTACTATTTTTCATATTGGAAATGAAATTATTCAATATGAATGTCAAACTGGAAATGAACTTTGGAGAAGTGAAATACAAAATAATATTGCATGTGTTTATGATAATGAAAATATAATTATTATTGGTAAAGAAAATGGTAGAATAGAAATTTTAGATAAAAGAGAAAATAAAACTTGTTTTAATTTTGTAAGTCATATTGGTGGTGTTATAGATATTCAAGGATTTGACAATCATTTCATTTCAATTGGAAATGATAATATTATTAGAATGTGGGATATGAGAACAAATGAAAGAGAATATGACAGAAGACCTCATACTGGTCAAATTAAAGGATTTGAATTATTTAATAGAAAAATTATTTCTTATTCAAGTGAAAAAGATGTTGTTCAAACTTGGATTGTTAATAATCAAATGAAATTACCACAAACATTATTTAAAACTGAAAATAAAATAAAAGGTTTTACTTGTAATGACAGATATATTATTATTTCTCAACCTTATGGAAATCTCTTAATTCATGATTTTGAACAATAATTCAATGTTTATATTAATTCTATTTTTTTTTTTATTTTTATTCTTGTTATTTATAACAATTTATTATATTTAATAAATTTAGATAGAAGGAACAAAACAATTTTTTCATTTCAAACCATTTTTTTCCTTTCTTTCACATTTCGTTTGGATACAAATAATAACGATAATAATTCTATAATAATTTTAATTATTTTTATTAATATTCAAACAAAACAAAAAACACGTTGTTAATTTCATAAAATAATCCAAAAATAGAAAATATTTTCCATTTCTATTTTTGTTTATGTATTTTTCTGAAAAAACAGAAGAAGGTTATAATAAAAGTAAAACTGAAAAGATATAAGGAACAAAATAATTAACGAGATTTTATCCTATTATTACCTTTTAATTTTTCATATTATCATTTCAGAGATATAAAAAGAATGAAAGGAAAGAACTTTTATTGTTTAATGCAATCAATACCAATGAATCAATACTGTAATTCAAAAATATTTCCTTCTTTTGATCCTATTGATTCAACACCTATAGTCGATGAAAATGAACCATATCATTTAAAACTTTGCTTCTGTCCATTATGCCAAAAAGGAATAAGTGTATTATTAAAAGAAAGGTCAAGAAATGTTATTTCTTGGCAATATATTTGTCGAGTTATTTTCTATTGTTTATCTGTAATTCATAGAAAAAATGGATATTTCTCATTAAAATATGATGTCCATTGGTTTATTGTTGATCATTGGTACCTTTTTTCTCAATTAGGTCAATTTAGAACCAACCCAAATAAATGGAAAAAAGCTATTTTAGATGCTATGATTCATTGTAATTTATTTGAGTCTGGTAAATCTACTGTTAATAAAACTGGTGTTTGGAAATTACATAAATATGAAGCTCCATGGGAATGTACCGATTCAAATTGTTTTGAAATTAGTTCAACACAAAATGAAACTCCTTTTTCTTGTGAGTATTCTCAAGATAACATTACTATTAAATCTAAAGATGAGAAGAAATTTGCTTTACCTTCTCTTTCATCTTCTTATAAATATTGTATGAATGATATTGAGTCTTCTTTTACTTTATTACCAAATCTATCTGAAGGTTTAATAGAGAATATTAAATTAGAAAATACTGATAGTTTTATTCAAACCAATATGCAAAAGATATTTAGTTAATAGCTATTACTTATTTCTTATTGATTGATTGTTGTATTCTCAAAACCATTTTTTACATCTTTCCTAATAACTTGTAAATAAGTCTTTTATTAAATTGTTTAAAGGATTTTTCTTTTTTTCTTTAATTAAAATTATTTTTAACTTAATTAAAAAAAAAAAATAAAAATGATATTTATACAAAACTGAAATTTTATTCAATTACAAGGTGAGACAATCTTATTTAACATGATCAAATCTTGTTCATTTAATGTTTCAAATTTAATTTCTATTTCACCTTCGTCTTTGTCTATTTTTAGATATTTTAATACTTCTTCTTGTTTAGCTCCTTCAACTTCCTCAAGTCTTTTACTTAACTCAATTTTTTCTTCAAATGAAAGTGGTATAACTCGTTCTTCTTCCATTTTTAGAGGAAGAATTCCTTGTTCTTCTTTTAGTTCTTCAATACTTTGTTTAAAGTCCATCCATTCTCTTTGGTCATTCCAATAATTATGTTCATCCTGATTAAAGATAACTTTGATAGACCTTCTGCAATCATATATCTCTTTAATTTGATCATCAAAATATCTCAATAATGTTGATGCAAATATATGAATTGTATTTCTTGGTGGATTATATTTCATAGCATTTTTAAAAACTAACCGTACATCATTAGCAAAATCGTCTATATGTTCATAAATTCCATACCTAAATTTTTTTGTAATAGTATTTAAGTCCATTGGATGTGTAATAACAACATAATAATCTGGTAAATTTTGTGCAATTGGATCAACTGGTGTTAAGAATGGACTTGCTTCTGGTAAGAGTTTTAGGTGATTTAATATTTGTCTACATGGAAGAACTTCTTGGGAAATTGGCTTTTTAATATTTGGTAACCGTTCTGGTTTATAAACAGGAATTCCTTGAGCATTCAGAGGTGTTGGTGTAGTAAGAAGAGTACTTTGTGATGTATTTTGTAAGATAGTAATTGGTTGTATTTTTGGTTTTCTTCCTCTTTTTCTTATACCTTTAATGTCTTGAAGATTTTCGAAATTAGTAAGTTGTTCATCAATTCCTAATAATGCTTTATCAAGATTTAAAGTTACTGTCATTTCTTCATTACCTAGACCTTTTCTTTTCTTAACCTTTTTTTCTTTTTTATCTTCTTGCACTTCAGAAATCTTACTCTTTTTTTGAACCTTTCTTTTTGAACTTTCGTTTTCAAATGTTTTAATTTTTTTAGAATCAACTGAATCATTTACATCTAACTTTGGAGAAACTCTAATAACTTCTTCAGACACATTTAATGTTTCTTTCTTTTCTACATCATCACTTTTTTCAACAATCATTCTTTTTCTATTCCTTCTTTGTCTTACACTTTCTTTTTTTGCTACTTTTTCTACTTTTTTTCTTTCTTCTAAATGTCCAGGAAGTGCACGAATCTCATAGTGATATTTCTTTTCTTGATTTTGTTTTAAAAAATATCCTCTATTCGATAATGCACTACACATGGCACACCCCCTCAATTTGTTAATATCAGTTTCAACTGCAAATACATCATCCATGTCTAATTCTTCAAGTTTGGATGTATCAACCATAACTATGGCTTTCTTTTTATTTGGTTTAGGCATTGTTAGTCGTGAGTGTCTAGTATGGCCTTGCATTCGTTCTAACATTTAATAGTTAAAACCCTTCACATTGCCTATTCTTTTTCTTTGAATCTCGTTATTCTATTTTTATGTCATATTTTTCTAGTTTCTTTGACTAATTCTATTTCTTTTCTAATTTTTTTTAATTTTTTACTATTCTTATTTCAAGTTCTTTTTTCCAAGTTGTAATTTTTTCGTTTCTCATTTTAATTTTTGATTTTTACTTTTTGTTTCATATTTTTGTCTTTTTTTATTTATTCTAAAATAGATTCAATCCTTGAATCATATTTTTCTGAATAAATTTTCTCATTCTTTCTGATAATAGAATTTTGTTATTATAATATAAAGTCATTTTCAGAACAATTACTAATGTCTTGTATATTTATTTACCTCTTTTTTTAATAACTAGTATAAGACTATATTTGAAGTAATAGTAATAAGACTCTAATTAAGACCCTATCTTTTTTTTTAACAATTTAGGTTAAAGAACAAATATTTCTCTTCTTTTTAATATTTAATATGTACATTTCTTATATCTTTTTAATGTCCCCATTCTATAATTTTTTCCTTTATTTTTTTTTCTTATTGTTGTTCGTTCATGCAACCAAGGTTTGGAATTTTGAGATGGCACTAAATTATATAAGTAGTAGTTATTTTCTTTATTTTAACCCAATAACATATAATTTCTTACAAAACAAAATCATCTTACCGTTTAGAAAGGTTTCTTTACCCAAGAATTAAACATATAACTTTATTGGTTTTTTTTTGTTTCGTTAATTGTATATTCTTTTCTTTACTAATAAAATCCTTATAAGATTTTGTTTTATTTATCCTTGATGAGAATGAATCTTTATTCGTGAAAAGTTATTTATTTGACTCTCAAAATTTTAGTCATACTTCTCTTTTTAAAAAACAAACTTTATTCATATAAATTCTATATGTTAATGAGTTTAGAAAGTCATATTCTTTTTTGGCATTATTTGTGTGTATGTTTGAGGTGTTTTATTATTTGATTATTTTTTATTTAAATGTTATAATTTTTAGTTCATATTATTTATACCAAAACGTCAATCTTTTTAAAATAGCAAAAATTTCTAAACTAATTAAAATAAATGTGTTATATAAAACATAATATTTAATACAGAGTTTTCTGTGAGATTAAAGGTTGAGAATATCTAATGAAGTAATTTAACCAAGAACTAATACAAAGTAATGAAGTATTTAGTGTCAATGGTTTAGAAGAGAGCATAAAGTGTTCATTTATAAATTCAGTCATATTTATAACATCATCCCAAATTGAAGCGGAATAAAGATTTGCTTTAATTTCTTTACGGTCTTTTTCACAATTAAAAGCAAATGTTCCATACTTAAAAGTAAATAATTCATCAGCAAGAAATTGAAGAAGTTTATCATTAAATTCAAATGAATATGGATTTTGTTTTAATAGTACATGAACACAATGAAGAAATTGAAGAAAAACTGGAGATGTATTTGTTGTATCATGTGTAATTCCACTTCGTGTTTGAAATTGATGACCAAAAGATAACCAATCTTTTTCAATCAATACCGCAAATCCTGAAATTGTTCTATAAAACGGATCAAGCATTAGTTCAACTAAACTACATATTTGACTTGTTCTATCCCATCCATCAGAGCAATGAACTAAAACTGATTTGTTTTCTAACATATTCGAAACAGTTTGTGTTGATTGTAATAATATTTGTATATATTTTATCCATTCACTTTTATATATTATAGGTAATATAGACATTGTTTCATCTTGTGTTAAAAAAATATCATAGCACTCATTAAATGCTTCTTTAACACGATGGATATTTGGAATATTAAGAAATTCTATTGAACAAAATGTATATTCTGATATTGATTCAAACCCAGCTTGTTTAAATGCTTTATTTCCTAATGCAGAGTAATAATCTCTACAATCATATATTTGAATATAACTACCTCCACCTTCTCTGTACAATAATGTTACATCTTCATCTGATTTTCCTGTAAAACCTGTTTTAGGTTGACTGGATCGAAGTAAAACTTTTCTTGTTTGTGGATGAATCCAAGTTAATACTGGTATTCTTCCATTAGTTCTAAATTCAGAAGATGCCATTAGTGTACTTTTGTGAATATCCATTGGAACTATTAACTGAGTTGGGTATGTGTTACATATTTCATACTTACTATTATATTCACATACCTTCCATTCTCCTTCTAGTCTCAGCCTTGAAAATTCATTATAAATATTATACGAACTCCAACCATGTTTTCCACCAACCCCTCTCATTACAAAATCAATTGGACAATACGTCTCAATCATTTGTCGTATCGTCTGAACAAATGAAGTACATGGAGTACTTGGCTCATATGCTGATAATGTAATAATTTGACAGTCTTTAAAATAGAATGTATAACAAACTCCATTATGTTCTGTGGTTTTGATTTTTAATAAACAAAAGAATGGAAATGTCATACATTCTTCTGTTGAATGAAAATATAAGATAAGTCTATGGTTGGTAATATAAATAGACGTGTGCATTTTTTCAAAGATAAATCCTTTGTGTTCATTTTTAATTATTTCTCCTTCTAATAATGGTAAATGAATTGTTTTTTCTACAGTTGTTGATGGAGAATAATTTGTTGATGGATTAAAATGTTCTTCAATCGACTTAGTTAAAATTTGAACTCGTTGATTAGGCTCAAATGAGTTATTTTGTGAATTCAATCTTGTCACTGAGTTATTTATGAAGTTATTTGTTTCAGTGCAATAATAATCATCAATAGGAAATTGTAAAGGATCATTCATTATTTATGATAGACTATCTTTTTAAGTTCTTTTGATTTTTAGTTTTTATTACTTACTTCAAATCATCTTTATGAAAACTATAATTTTAATTTAATTTGATGTTATTATCATCTTTGAATAATTTTCTTTCTATTTTTGATGTCTAAAATTATCATTTAAGTAATGACTAGATGGAATGAAGTACATATGAAGTAGATAACTTCTTTTAATATTTAAATTACATATCCTTTTAATTAGTAATAGTACAAGAGTATTTGTAAAATTTAGAATAAACACAAACACATTTTTGATATATCACTAAATTTTTATATTTTTTTATAGTCAAACATCAAACTTATTTTGTTACTTTTAAAAAACATAATTAACAGAGTCGTGTCTTTCTTTTTTTTTCTTTATTTAATTTAAAAGTGTTTTAGTTTTAGAGATGCATTACAGACATTTTCCTAAATAGTTTGTCAAGTATATTTATGAAATATTTGATCAACCTATCCATTTTCTGTAAACTATACTGTTATTAACTCTATTGGTTCAGTTGTTCTAATAACAACATTCTTGAAAAGTTCACTTAGTTTAGTACTCATTCAATAAGAAGTAATAAAAAATGATTTTTCAGTCATTTGTAAAATCTAAATCTTATTTTATTTATTAAAAAGTCACACTAAGCTTCATTTTGAATGTTTGACACAATCAACTTATATACAAAAGAGAATGTATTATTATTTACTTTAGAAATTATTTAAGAGAGAAGAACATTAGATTAACAAAATTAATTTCTTCTCAATATCTGTTCATACAAATAAACTTTTTAATAGGAAATTTTTAGAGAATAAAACAAAAAAATAATTAATTTTTGTTATTTTTTTCTCTTTTTGAAGCATTTATTTAAGTGAATGAAAAAGTGAAAAAAAGACAACTTAAATTGGACAAGATTGAAATGTTCATCGAGGAAATACTAATTGATGGGTTTAAATCTTATGCTAGAAAAACAACAATAGGGAAATTTGATAGTAAGTTTAATGCTATTACTGGATTAAATGGTTCAGGAAAATCAAATATATTAGACGCTATTTGTTTTGTAATGGGTATTCAGAATTTATCATTAGTGCGTGTACAAACCTTACAAGAATTAATATATAAGTCTGGACAATGTGGTGTCACAAAAGCCACTGTTACAATTGTTTTTAATAATAACGACAAAGCAAATAGTCCTACGGGTTATGAAGGGTATGATCAAATCACTGTTGCAAGACAAATTACTGTTACAGGAAAAAATAAGTATATGTTAAATGGAAAAGTATTACCACAATCGCATATTTTAACATTTTTCAGAGCAATTGGATTGAATGTCAACAATCCTCACTTTCTTATAATGCAGGGAAAAGTTGTTAAAGTACTTAACATGAAACCGATGGAAATCTTAGCCATGGTGGAAGAAGTCACTGGAACTAAAATGTATGAGACAAAACGAGCAGAAGCAGTAAAGGTTTTAGAAAAAAAAGATTCTAAATTAAAGGAAATAGATAACATCCTTAGAGAAGAAATCACTCCATCAAGAGAAAAGTTGAAGAAAGATGCAGAAGCTTTAGTAAACTTAAGAAATAAGAAAACAGCCTCTGAGAACTTGGAAATGAAGATTCATGCCTTTGATTATTATAGAGCAGAAAAAAAATTTAAAGACTTAAATGAAGAAATCAAAATTTTAGAGGGTGAAATTTCAAACAATGAAAAAATAATTGAAAAAATGAGAGATGAAATTGATGGAATGGCTGAAGATTTAGGAGAACAACTTTTGAACACTGATGAAAAGGAAAAAGAAGCAACAAAAATTGATGAAGAGATTGAGGTTATGAAAACAAGAAATGAGGCTAATAAAGAACGAGAAAAAAGCCTCAATAACAAAATTGAAAAAATTAAGAGAGATATTAAAAGAGTTCTAGAAGATGAAGGAGAAAATGATGAACGATTAATTAGAGAAAAGGAATGGATAGAAAAGAGAGTTGAAGAATTAGAACTAAGACTAGGAAAAATGAATGGATTAAGTCAATCAGAAGATATCATTGGAGGAATTACTATCACAATGAAAAAGGTTCGTAAAGAATGTGAAGATCTCATTCGGCAAAAACAAAAACCAATTCCAGGCAAAGTAAATAAAGAGGAAATTGAGTCTACAATAAAAGAAATTCTTAATGAAGAAAAAAATTTAGAGTACCAATGCAACAATTGGAATGGTTCAAATGAGGTTGAATCTGAATTATACGATTTGGAACGAGACCTTGAAGCAAAAAGAAGAAAATTTGAAGAGGCAAATAGAAAAATGAATTTCAGTTTTAGGTATTCTCTACCAAGCGCTGACTTTGATCGAAATCGTGTAAAAGGTCTTATAGTCACTTTGTTTACTCCAAAAGAAAATAAGTATTCTACAGCACTTGAGATTGCAGCAGGACCAAAAATTTTTCATGTTGTTGTTGATAGTGATATTACAGCTTCATTATTGGTTGAAAAAAAATGTTTAAAAAAACGAATGACATTCATCCCATTAAACAAGATTGCACCACAAATGCCAAATTTGAATCAAATTAAACAAGCAAAAGAAATTGGAGGACATAAGATTCAATATGCTTTAGATGTAGTTCAATGTGAACCAGAATTTAGTCCAGTCATGAAATATGTTTTTGGAAATGTCCTTATTGCAGAGGATGCTGAAACTGCAAAAAAAGTTTGTTTCAACCCAAGGGTCATGATGAAAACAGTTACAGTATCAGGTGATTTGTATGATCCATCTGGTATTTTAACAGGAGGTAGTAAACCTAAGAGTTCAGGCTTTTTGGATGAAATTAGAAGACAGAATGGATTGAAAAGAGAATGGGAAGATTGCCAAAAGCTGATAGAAGAAAAGAAAACTCAACTCGCTCAATTCCAAGAGATAAAAAGAATAAGAGAAAATTTACAATTTGCTAGAGAACGCAGAAAGAAGGCAGAGCATGAGCTTGAAGAATTAGATAGGATGAATGAAGAAAGAGAAAGAATGATAAAACAAAGAGAAAAATTGGAGCGAATGATCCAAGAAAAGGAAAAAGAATTAGCAGACCTTACTAATAGAAAAGAAGAAGCAATAAATGAGAGAAAAAGGATGGAAGGGGGGCAAGGAGAAGCGGTTAAAAAAGAGCTACAAAATAAAATAGAAGAAGAAAAAGGAAAATTAGATAAAATAAGCAAAGAAATTAAAAGAGCAGAAGAACAAACTCGAAAAAGAGAAATTGAAAAGATGAAGATAGAAGATTGGGAAAAGGAGAAGGCAACACACGAAAAAGAATTAAGTAATATTCTCTTGGAACGTGAGGATATCAAACATGAAATTGAAGTAAAAGAAAAGGGACTTGAAGAGCTCAAAAGAGAAATTAAAGAAATTAAAACAGCGAATTCAGAGAAAATTAGAAGAGTAAAAGAAATGAATGAACAAAAACAACTCAAGGGAAAAAAGGTTGGAGAAAAAGAAAATGAGCTTAAAAGAATTACAAAAGAGAAAGAAAAGAAAGAAGAAGAGATAAAAAATATTGGAGAGACAATAAGAGTATTAGAGAAGAAATACCTTTGGATTAAAACAGAGAAAAAACAGTTTAATAAAAAAGGA